ACAACAACAACAAATTTATTAAATTTGTGAGGTCCATGCCTTTACACAAAATACCATAAAACATTATTAAAAGATAAACCAAAAAGATTATAAAAGTAAGCTAAAATTCATGCCATGTTGTCCCAGCAAGGAAACTACCCAATAAACCCCACCATTCAGGGAAGAAGATACAGCAACAGGTTAGGAGAGCAATGGGAGGGACCTCACCGTTTCATCCAGGAACCATACCCTAGTTTTCATAGCCTTCACCACAAAGACCGCTACCACGTGAGAAATCCGTGGATCAGCGTCTACCAGTAAAAACTTTACTTGGTCCTCAGAGTTGACTATTGATTTAGGAATAGTTTGTAACATCGCATCCCTGAAGGCCGAATAGATGGGACAGTACAACATGTAATGTATGAGATCCTCTTTGGTTCTCATATAACAAGGACATATCCGCTGCTCTACTGGGATTTTTGCATATCTGCCTGACAGATAGGCCGTAGGAATGGTTTGAAAACGGGCCATAGTAAAGGCTCTCCGAAGAGTGGGATTGGTGATATTCGCCAAGTAATTGGCGCAGATTTTGACTGCTTTCAGTCGGGGAAGCCAGTGGGAGGACCCTGGGATCTGTATTTTTGTGGTATCTAACAGAGCGTCTCTCTCCAGGATCCATTTCCGGACTTTGTCCGGGCTCCACCGTTTGAGGATATTAAACTCCGGTAGGGTGTATCTAACCAGGATCTCAGATAAGTTTTGGCGCCAGGTGGTATTCTTTTGAAAAGATACAAAGGCTTGTTTGGCCAATAAGGTGTTTGAAGAGTTTGCAAGGTTGATGTAAAATCGTAGGAATCTTAAGTGGGCCCTGGCAGACACAGAGGGTAAACCAACCTCCACCCTCAAGAAGGCTGCTGGGGTTCCTTGAGGAAGGCCTAGAATCCTCTTGAGATAGTAGTTTTGCAAAATTTCAAGCCGTTCCAACAGCCTCTGGTTCCACCCCCAGAGTTCTATCCCATATAACATCTGGGGAATAGCTTTCCCAACAAAAGCTCTTAATGCCGGGATCACCAATTGTCCTCCCCTGGTATGGAAGAAACTAAGCAAAACACCAATTGCAGAACTCTCTAGCAGAAAGTTGGCAGCCTTCATCCTGGCTCACTTGAACCAACTGCTCATCCATCATCTGCAACATGAAGGTCACTTATGAAAATTACATCTGTCAACCACCCTCCAGCGCTAAAAGGGCAGCAGGTTCCACCTCAAATGAGTCTCTGGAAGATGCTCTTGGCCATTTTGACCTTCCCTGCCAAGCTTTGTTAGGATTCAAGTTATTTTAGATTCACAGTTGGGTTTTGCACATGGTAATTTTTTATGCTGTGAATGTTTGAGAATTAAGAATTGTCTCAAGGTAGCTCTGGTTCAGGGCTGGCAATGCAAATGCTTCCCCTTTCCTAAATCCACATCTTTCTTTGCCTTTCCAGGGCCAATACTTAACAGTGGAGCAACTGACTTTAGATTTTGAGTATGTCATTAATGAGGTGATCCGGAACGATGCCTCATGGTCAAAGCAGTTTTGCTCCTTCAGTGACTATGACATCGTCATTTTGGAGGTAGGACCATGTTGGGTGTATTATCGCGGTAACGGTGCCCCATTTGGGTGCAGTTTGGGCCATTGAGGAACTATGCTGCTCCTTGGTAATTTGCATCCTTGCAGCCATTGATCTTCAGACTTCCTTTCCAAGGAAGGGCTTTATTTATTGTCTCTTTTATTAATTTTTGATAGCTACATCAAATCCTTTTAAAGCTAAAATGAGAGAGATGTCAACATGAATAAAATAGCCAGTGCATGTCTAGTTGACATTTATTGCTACATTGCAAGAGCCCTTGGCAATTGACCTACCTGTTTGTAATACCCTCTAGCAAACCCCACTCCCATCTTGGGTAAAAATGAGCAGCGGTCCTTTCTTTAATTTTCTGGTTAGTTGTGACTGAAGGGGAGGCTGAAACACAGTTGCGTCATTGTTTGAAAACCAGAACTCTCAATATGTTGGCCAATAGTGCCAAGCCATACTTAAAATGCTGTGGCCTAAGTAACTTAGGCTGGTACATGTGAATTCAGTGTTTATGGCACCTCTGGATTTTCCAACTCAATAGGGCCTTTGAGTGTCCCATCCTGTTTTCAGGCATGATATCTAATTTGTACGGGAGCCTTGACTAATAAGGGGTAGCGGGAGATCTTCTTTTCTACCTCACCAAAGGTGGCTGATATGGATCCTTCCTTTTTAAAGACAGGGATGGCCAATTGTCTACCTAGTGTCTGATTATAAGGTGCAAAGCTTGCTACTGCTAGCCTTCTGCCGTACTTGAGGGCAGATACCAAAAGATTCCAACTGAGAAATGACTCTGCCCCTGTGGAGATGGTAATCTGGAAACAGTGGCTCATGTTCTCCTGTCCCGTCCCCTTTATAAAGATCTGAGGAATGAGATCATTACCCCACTCTTTCTTACCATCTGAGGCCACCCATCTGAGGCGACATTGTTCTTTCTTTTATCAGATCAAAATTGTCAGACAACAGCAAGGGTTGCTAGGTTTATCGAAGGTGCAATGAAATTAAGGGCCACTATCTGAACTATCTGGGATGCGGGTGACGCTGTGGGTTAAACCACAGAGCCTAGGACTTGCCGATCAGAAGGTCGGCAGTTTGAATCACCGCAATGGGGTGAGCTCTCGTTGCTCGGTCCCTGCTCCTGCCACCCTAGCAGTTCAAAAGCACGTCAAAGTGCAAGTAGATAAATAGGTACCGCTCCAGTGGGAAGGTAAACGGCGTTTCCGTGCACTGCTCTGGTTCGCCAGAAGCGGCTTAGTCATGCTGGCCACATGAGCCGGAAGCTGTACGCCGGCTCCCTCAGCCAGTAAAGCGAGATGAGCGCCGCAACCCTAGAGACAGCCACGACTGGACCTAATGGTCAGGGTCCCTTTACCTTTACCTGTCTTGAACGATAATCTTGGCCATTTGAGTGCCCTTTTTGCCCTGAACTTTTTATTTGTATATATTGCTTGTTTTATGTTGCTATGGCTGTTGGCTAATGCGAATAAAGTTTATCTTACCCATCTATCGTGCTACTGCTATTTACCTCTCATTTCTTGTGAGACATATCCACCAGATTGGAAGTGGTACTCTGCAACACAATCCTAAGACTGGCCCAGGCAATGATTGAAAGGGGTGGGAGAAATCCTTCTCCCCCGGTACCTCACAGTTTCTTGACCCTGTGTAGCTTGGGTTATGCCTAGCCAAGGAATTAAGTGTGTGTG